GGGATCAGTGTGACAGGGGGCAGCGCCCAAACCCCCTGATCGCCCTGCAGCTCTGTGTGTGACAGGGGCGGGGCCACAACCTCCCTATCCGCCCTGCTCTGTTCGTGACAGGGGAAGGCGCCCCAACCCCCTGATCAGCCCTGCTCTGTGTGTGACAGGGGGCAGTGTCCCAACTCCCCTATCGGCCCTACTCTGTGCGTGACAGGGGGGAGCTCCCCCACCCCCTGATCGACCCTGCTCTGTGCGTGACAGGGGGCAGCGCCCCAACCCCCTGATTGGCCCTGCTCTGTGCGTGACTGAGAGTGGCATCGCAACCTCCCCATCGACCCTGCCTTGAGTGTGACAGGGGGCGGTGCCCCAACCCCCCAATCGGCCCTACTCTGAGCGTGACTGAGAGTGGCATCGCAACCTCCCCATCGACCCTGCCTTGAGTGTGACAGGGGGCGGTGCCCCAACCCCCCAATCGGCCCTACTCTGAGCGTGACTGAGAGTGGCATCGCAACCTCCCCATCGACCCTGCCTTGAGTGTGACAGGGGGCGGTGCCCCAACCCCCCAATCGGCCCTACTCTGAGCGTGACTGAGAGTGGCATCGCAACCTCCCCATCGACCCTGCCTTGAGTGTGACAGGGGGCGGTGCCCCAACCCCCCAATCGGCCCTACTCTGAGCGTGACTGAGAGTGGCATCGCAACCTCCCCATCGACCCTGCCTTGAGTGTGACAGGGGGCGGTGCCCCAACCCCCCAATCGGCCCTACTCTGAGCGTGACTGAGAGTGGCATCGCAACCTCCCAATCCGCTCTGCTCTGTGCATGACAGGGGGCAGCGCCCCAACTCCCCAATCAGCCCTGCTCTGAGCCCGACCAGGGGCTGCACCTAGGGGTTGGGCCTGCCCTCTGCCACCTGGGAGCAGGCCTAAGCCAGCAGGTCGTTATCTCCCGAGGGGTCCCAGACTGTGAGAGGGCACAGGCCCGGCTGAGGGACCCCCCCTCCCCCCTGAGTGCACAAATTTTTGTGCACCGGGCCTCTAGTCTCTATATATCTCTCTATATAAAGAGGTAATAAGCAAATTAGGCCGGGACACCGTAACAGTCACGACCGGCTCAGGAAGAGGCTATGTGCACAGGGGGGTTGTCAGCGGGAGTGGGCCCAGAGCGGAGACACAACACACAGGGGGGCCCGCCCCCGCTGGGAGACAGCGTGCCAGCAGTCCTGCCTCTGTGCGTGAGCTGCAGAGGAAACACCTTTTCTTACCACTCATTGGCTAAGCTCCCTGTATGCCGTTCGCAGTGTTCTTGGTAACTTGGGTAATAAGAATCCAAGATGGTGATCTAGGGTTTTCCCACCTCATTCCTGGAGGAAAAAAAGAAGGCCCGCTGCTGGAGGGGATCAAAAATGTCATATCCTGCCCTAGCTGGTTTGGTTCAGTGGATAGAGCCTCGGCCTGCGGACCGCAAGGTCCGGGTTTGATTCTGATCAAGGGCATGTACCTAGGTTGCAGGCTCCTCCCTGGCTGGGGCCCAGATCAGGGCTCATGCAGGAGGCAACCAATCGAAGTATCCCTCTCACATTGATGTTTCTCTCTGTCTTTCCCTTTCTCTTCCATGCTCTCTAAAAATCAATAGAAAAATATCCTCAGGTGAGGATAAAAAAAAAAGAAAGAAAGAAATGTCATATCTTATGAAAGAGACATCTTGAAAATGGCTATAGTAAGTTGTCATTTTTTTCATGGTGAAGGGACTGGAATCTGTGTTGATGAAAACACCTTGGTGACTGTGGCGGCCGGCAGTGGCAGCAGCAGCGGGGTGATGGGGGTTGCGCCTTCCCCTGATCAGCCGGTCGCCTCCCACAGAGGAATGCCAGAGTGTGGCTTAGGCCCACTCCCCTTGGGGCTAAGCTGTCAGTAGGACATCCCCTGAGGGCTTCCGGACTGTGAGAGGGGGCAGGCTGGGCTGAGGGACCCCTCCCTCAGTGCATGAATTTCATGCACCAGGCCTCTAGTCCTATATAATAAAAGCCTAATATGCTAAGTGTCTGGTCGTCCAGTTGGCCATTCAACCAGTCAAAGCATAATATGCTAATTATATGCTAAGACCGCTCAACCACTCCCTATGACATGCACTGACCACCAGGGGGCAGACGCTCCAACCAGTAGGTTAGCTTGCTGCTGGGGTCTGGCCAATGGGGACTGAGCGAGATGGGTCAAACATCCCCTAGAGCCCTCCCGAAGTCCCTCCCTGGCCCCAATCATGCACCGGTGGGGTCCCTTGGCCTGGCCTGAGCCCTCTCACAATCCAACACCCCTCAGGGGTTGTCCAAGAGCTGGTTTTGTCCCAATCCCGCAGGGCCAGGCCAACAGGCCCCACTGATGCACGGATTCATGCACCAGGCCTCTAGTCATACTATAAAAGCAACACATGCAAGCATTTATTGGCAAGCGGGCACAAAAAGGAAAAAAAGAAACAGGTGAAGTTAATGTTTGGCTTATTTGTTTTCAACTTTTATACTGTCAGAAAAATAAGACCGTAGGGATACTGAAAACCACATAGGACAAAAGTACAGATACATGAGTTATTATAAGGTAACCACCTGTGTTACCACTACCCACAGTAAGAAATAGGACTTTGCTGGCTACCTCAGAGGGTTTTTCATGAGTCCTGGCCCAATCTCAACCCAATCCTGCTTCTTTTATGTTACCAGTCTCCTGACTTTTTTTTTTTTATAGACATAATGTTTAGAATAGTTTTAGATTTACAGAAAAAGTGACCAGATAGTACAGAGTTCCTACATGTCTCCACAAAAACACCCAGTTTCCCTTAGTATATTACTGTCTTCTATTAGTAGGATATATTGTTACAAATAATGAACCAATTTTGACACATTATTATAAACTAAAATCCAAAAAGTTTCTTAGTTTTTTTGTATTTGTTTAAATAAAGAATACACACACACACACACACACACACACACACACACACACACTAGTGGCCTGGTGCACGAAATTCGTACACACTAAAAGAGAATTAGAGGAAAAATTTTAATATTGCTATTTGCCCTTTCTCTATAACAGAAGTGTCAGAGATGAAAGAAAATTAGTAAAATCTATATGAAAATCTCCCTCCTGTCAGAGTCTGGGGCACGCTGCGGGACCCAGAGTCAAGTCTCCGCCCACCTGCACATGCCTCCAAATTGCATGAGACCCAGACCCAGCCAGCTCCACCCGTCAAGCCCCACAGGCCAGGGGGCACAGCCTCAGGTCCCCCGGTCCAGCGCCAGGCAGGGGGCACAGCCTCAGGTGCCCCATCAAATCCGCTAGGCGGGAGGTGCACCTCAGGTCCCCCATCTAGCCCTGCTGGGCAGGGGGCGCAGCCTCAGGTCCCCAGC